CTCATGGCATAGAGCATGGAGAAAGCTGGTGCCCAATTGGAAGTTTCACCCACTACTGGCTAGCATTCATAATGCTGGAAGGTGTTAGAAACACTACCAGATGAAACACTATCAATCTTTGACCCCTGCAAGCTATAGTAACTACATGCCTGCAAGATATGCCCACCAGTACAATAGTAGCATGAATATTAGATGAATAACCAAAGACTTTCTTATTACATTTGATGGTCACTCCATGAGATGCAACCCATACCTATTGTTGTTAATAAAGCCAAGAACCTGTGACTAGATTTTCCATGGGTCCTATGGGAAAACCTAGTGCTATTACTCAACGCTCAGCAGAGAAGCTTCTTGCAGCAGACTGTAATTAACACAGAGATCCACAATTGAACAACATGCAGAAAGTGAGAGACTTTGTAGGACTCCACCCTAAATGGGATGTCTTTATCGCACCCCATAAGTGCTTAGGGATCTACGTGAAGAAAGGACCAGAAAGGTTATAAGAGCCAGAAGTTGTGGACAATTTTAAGCAAACAGCATTATCCAGAAACAACATAGCAGGTGTGCATATGAGCTCACAGAGACTGTAACAGCATGCACAAAAGCAGCCCAAGCTTGAGCCAGACAAAAATCCCATCATGGAGGAAGAAAATGGGCATGAAGTCCCAACCCAGCCAGGGAAAAAAAACAAAAACAAAAACAAAAAAACTATTCACAAACCCTAGCTGCTGGAAGAGGAAAAGTCAGTTTTCATCAATTTAGTGACACTTGGTACATATACAACACTCCAGGGCAGGACCCATGCTCAGGAATAGTTGGCCAACCCAAAACAGTCACCATAGTTTTTAGTTGAGTTTTTGTTTTGTTTCAAGAAAGAAAAAATAAACATGAATCTATGTAGGGAGGGAGGAGAGGAAGGTCTTGGAAGAGATAGAAGATGGGAAAAAATGCAATAAAATATATTGTATGAAATTCTCAAAGAATAATAATAATATAATAAAATACTGGGCAGCGGTGGGGCATGTGTTTAACTTAGGAGACAGAAGTAGGCCAGCTTGGTCTACAAAATGTGTTTCAGGACAGTCAGGACTGATACAAAGAGAAAGTCTGCTCAAGAAAAACAGATAGATAGATAGATAGATAGATAGATAGATAGATAGATAGATAGATAGATAGATAGATAGATTGACAGGCAGATACATACACAGAATAATCTCTATTGCACACTGTCTCTTACTATCATAATACAGTATAGAACCTATGTGCAGCAGTGAATAATGCAAATAATTTGTGCTTCCTCTCTCCCTTGTTAGAAGACCTTCCTGTTTACACTGTCTTTCTTGATGCTCTTCCATTCAACAGGTTCATCCTTTTCTGAGTCTATGACCTAGAGATTTTTATGACTGTGACACCAAGGAATTCAGGAAATCATAGGTAACCTGAAAGGTTAAAAAAAAAAACAAAACAAAAACTTCGCTATTGACAATCCTCTGCTGGCTAATCCATTGATGTGAGTCCCTTCCAGCCACTGTAGAGTTTTTAGCAGCTTCCGTGGCCAAAACACTAAATGCCAGTGGGCCTCCTCCATGCTGTGACAATCAAAAGTGACTCCCAAAATTTCCAAATATGTTGGGGAATATTATGTTAATGAGTCAAAGATGTGTTGCATTTGTTTATGCTCCAGAATATTGCTTTAACTATGTAAAGGTGTGTTTACTTTTGTTTATGCATCATTTGTTTAAAGATGGAAGGATGTGTGTTTCATTATGGACAGATGCGTTGCATTTGTTTCACCTTGCCTGCCTAATGCACCTAATTAATCTAATACAGAGTTAAACAGCCTAGGCAGGAGAAAAGACAGGCAGGGCTGCCAGGAAGAGAGAAGAAATAGGAAGAGAAATCTGGGTTCAAGAAGGAGAGAAGAAAGGGAGAAGGAGATGAGGGTGCCAGGGAACAGTCACTGAGCCACCCAGCCACCTAGCCAGCCACAGAGGAATCAGGAAAGTAAGATATACAGAAACAAGAGAAGAAAGATAAAAAGCCCCAAGGCAGAACACATATTTAAAAAAAAAACACGATAATTAGTTAAGTTAGAAAAGCTGGCTATAACAAACAACATAAGATATCTTGAGGTAACTCTAACCAAACAGGTGAAAAGACCTATATGACTAGAACTTTAACTCTTTAAAGAAGAAAATCAAGCCGGGCATTGGTGGCACACGCCTTTAATCCCAGCACTCTGGAGGCAGAGGCAGGCGGATCTCTGTGAGTTCGAGACCAGGCTAGACCGACAGCCTCCAAAACAGAGAAACCCTGTTTCGTAAAAAACCAAAAAACAAAAAACAAAAAGAAGAAAATCAAAGAAGATATCAGAAAATGGAAAGATCTCTCATGCTCTTGGATAAGTAGTGTTAACATAGTAAAAATCAGTCCTACCAAAAACAATTTACAGATTCAATGTAATCCCCATCAAAATCCCAGAACAATTTTTCACAGACCTCGAAAGAACAATACTCGACTTCATATGGAAAAATAAAAAACAGGATAGCCAAAACAACCCTGTACAATTTCAGGAATTTCAGGAGTCATCACCATCCCTGACTTCAAGCTTTATTATCGAGCTATAGAAATGAAAACAGCTTGGTATTGACACAAAAACAGAGAGGTAGACCAATGGAATTGAATTGAAGACCCAGATATCAACCCACACACCTATGAACATCTGATTTTTGACAAAGAACCTAAAATTATGCAATGGAAAAAAGAAAGCATCTTCAGCAAATGGTGCTGGCATAACTGGCTGTCGACATGTAGAAGATTGCAGATAGATCCATATCTATTGCCATGCACAAAACTCAAGTGAAAATGGATCAAAGACCTCAGTATAAATCCATCCACACTGAACTTCACAGAAGTGAAACTGGGAAATTCCACTTGAACACATAGGCACAGGAGACCACTTCTTAAATATAACACCAGTAGCACAGACACTGAGAGCAACAATTAGTAAATGGGACCTCCGGAAACTGAGTAGCTTCTGTAAGGCAAAGGACATGGTCAACAAGACAAACAACTCCCTACAGAATGGGAAAAAGATCTTCACCATCCCCATATCTGAAAGAGGACTGATCTCCAAAATATACAAAGAACTCAAGAAACTGGACACCAAAGTGTCAAATAATCCAATTAAAAATGGGGTACACAACTAAACAGAATTCTCAACAGAAGAAACTCAAATAGCTGAAAGGCATTTAAGGAATTGTTCAAAATCCTTAGCCATCAGGGAAATGCAAAGCAAAAAAACTATAAGATACCATCTTACACCTATTAGAATGGCTAAGATCAAAAACACTGAAGACAGCTTATGCCAGAGAGGATTTGGAGGAAGGGGAACACTCCTCTACTGCTTGTAGGAATGCAAGTTTGTACAGCCACTTTGGAAATTAGTATGGCCATTTCTCAGAAAAATAGGAATCAATCTACCTCAAGACCCAGGAATACCACTATTGGGCATATACTCAAAGGATGCACACTCATACCACAAGAACATTTACTCAACTATGCTCGTAGCAGCATTATTTACAATAGCCAGAACCTAGAAACAACCTAGATGCCTCTCAACCAAAGAATGGACAAAGAAAATGTGGTACATTTACACCATGGAATTCAGCTCAGTGGTAAAAACAATGACATCTTGAAATTTTCAGGCAAATGGATGGAACTAGAAAAAGCCATCCTGAGTGAGGTAAGCCAGACCCAGAAAGACAAACATGGCATGTACTCACTCATAAGTGGATATTAGGCATAAAGCAAAGGATAACCAGACTACAGTCCACAACCCCAGAGAAGCTGGGTGACAAAGAGAACCCTAGGAAGGAGAACTAGACAAGATCTCCTGGGTAAATTGGGAGCATGGGAAGGATGGGGGAGAGTGGAAGGGGTGAGGGGAAGAGGGAAGGGAAATGGGGAAGAGAACATGAGGGAAAGGGAAGGTCAAGTTGGGGGAAGGACAAAGGGAGAGCAAAGAAAGAAATACCTTGATAGAAGGAACCATTTTGGGCATAGAAAGAAGTGTAGCACTAGGGAAATTCCCAATAATACACAAGGATGACCCCAGATATAATTCTAAGCAATAGTGGAGAGGGGGGCTGAACTGGCCTTACCCTATAATCAGATTGAGGTCTGCTGTAATTGTCAACCCTTCTTCCTGTGACTGATGAAAGCAGATACAGATATCCACAACTAACCACTAGGCCAAGCTTCCATAGTCCAATCAAAGAGAGGGAGGAGAAATTATATGAGCAATGGGGTCAAACCCATAATGGGGAAGCCCACAGAAACAACTGACCTGGGCTAGTGAGAGCTCACTGACCTCGGATGGACAGCAGCAGAACCTTCAAAGACTGAACTAGACCTTCTGAATGCAGCTGACAGTGGATAGATTAGGCAGTTTATAAGGTCACTGGCAGTAGGTTGAGGATCTATCGCTAGTACACGAACTGGCTCTTTGGAGCCCATTTCCTATGGAGACATACCTTGCTAAGCCCAGTCACAGGGTGGAGGGAGTTGGTCAGGCCTCAATGTGGTAATGGGACAGACTTTGTTGACTCCCTATTGGAGATCATATCCCCTCTAAGGAGTAGATGGGTGATGGGAAGGTGTGAGGAATGGGATGAGGGGAGGGAGGGAGAACTGGGATTGATATGTAAAATAAAAATAAGATAAAATTTTTAGAAAAAAGAAAAACTGGCAAGAAACAGGCCTAAGCTGAGGCTGGGCATTTGTAACAAAGAATAAGAAGTCTCCGTGTCTTTATTTGGGAGTTGGGTGGTGGTCCCCCAAAAGGGAAAAAAAACTACACATGTGTCCCCGGGAGATGGGTAAAGTCATACCCTGGTTGAGAAACACTGTGGGAGGAGCTAAAACCTCTATAGTTCCCCGTGGGAACAGAACTTCAGAACCAGCAATGCCTGGCTCTTACAAAATTCCCCATGATTTTCCAGAAGGACCAGGCAGCAGAGGAATCCCCTAGCTGGCAATAAGAAACTGAAAACCCAGGATCCCAGCACAGACTGCTTCAGGAGCAAGGGACACAGCAGCACCTACTGAAACCAGTCTCCACTGTCCCAGAAAGACCCATTGGAGCAACCTTAGACCCCTCATGGTACCTCACATGCTTTCTCCCTGAATACGTCCCTAAAATACCTACTCTAAAATTCACTTTTCCTCCTGTTTACAAACCCTACTCCTTCTTCTTAAAATTACACCCAAAAGGAATGCAAAGCTCCCACACAGTTGGAAAAATAATGCTCAGATCTGAACTAGAGATATGCATTAACCAAACACGTACTACGAGGTTACATGAGCTCAGAGCTGATTTTCTATCCCAGGACTTGGGCTTTTCAGAATTTCTACATAAACAGTACTAAATGTCTTTTGAGAAGACATGTGGGTTTATATTCCATACATAAATTGTGATGTAATGCCTGGCTGAATCCTTTACAAGTTTAGCCGACTTAAGCGCTTTTAAGCATACAGTCAGTACTGTCCAGTGTATAGTCAACGTGACTGTGCAATCAATTTCCAGGGCAGTTTCACCTTGCAAAACTGAAACTCACTGGCCATTAAACAACTAACTCCCCAGTTGCCTCTCTTCTTAGCCCTTGGTAACTACTGATTCCCGTTTCTAGGAAGTAACTACACAGTGTATAAATGGAATTAGGCAGTTTTGGGCTTTGTGAGGCTGGTTTATTTCACTTGTCATAAAGACTTTGAAGCTGTCTATGTTGTGCTAGATATCTGAACTCCCTTCTTTTTGATGGTTGAATGATAGTCCATTATCTGTATGCACCACATTTTTTTTAGTGTCTACCTTGCTGATAGGCATTGATTTCCAGCTCTAGGCTACTATGAATACGGCTGCTGTAAACAAGAGTGTACAAATATTTCAAAACCTTGTTTTCCACTTTTTTTTGCTTTAAATATATACCAGAGGTGGGGCTGTTGGATGGTGTTGAAGAACCACCACACTATTCATAGCACTCATGTTTTAATCTTTTGGAAGCTTTGTTTCTTTGACCATTGAATAATATTTTTTTAAACAAATGGAACTGAATGGGATGAAACCTAAGTCACACCTTGGTTTGAATCCTAATATGCTGACAGGAATCTATGCATGGAGACAGCACACACCCCTTTCTGTTTGAACGTTCTATACTGTCTATCCCTCATTGTTCAACATCTCATGCAATACACACCCTCAGTGCACTGTTATTGTTCCTAGATTATCAAGAAAGAAAGAAGTGACCCAGACAGATCATATCTGTAATCCAGAACTTAGGAGGTGAAACAGAAGGGTCAGGAGTTCAAGGCCAGCCTTAGCCACAAAAGACCTTGTCTCCAATAACTAAAACAAACAGAGGACAGTGAAGAAGCAGAAATGAGTTGTGGGTGTGCTGGTATTCCCCACCTGCAGCTGCACAGGCTGCCAGGCTTCTCACACCAGGAGTCCCACCTCCAGAGGAACTGCAACTGTGCACACAGTCTCTGGCGAGAAGCAGAGAGGAAGTGCTGCTTGCCTGGCTTCTGACATACAAGAAGTCTTATATTAACTGAGCAGGTTGTAGTTATGTACTTAAGAATACACATATATGTACCAACAATTTAAAAATTCCATGGATTTGAAAGAGCAAAGGGGTTGTACGTGCGAGAATTTAGAAGGGGAAGGGGAAAGAGGAAAGGGTATTACAAAAGGAAAGGATGTAATCTCAAAAATTAAAAAAATGTAAAGAAGGACATCATTTGTACAAAGATGAACCCTTCCGTCATCATGCAATCATACAACTGTGTCATTCTGAAAAGTCTCCAAAACACAGGAAATAAATACATCAAACTGACATAATGCTTTTGGAAACACAGGAAGGAACAGTAGTGTTCTTCTAGATAGGAAAGAATTGCAAACACTGCCGAGTTTTACTATTGGAGCTCAAACCCCAAGCTCCAAATAAAACTTCTCAACTAAGTCTTGAATCTCTGGGCTGTTGGTCCTACATGTGCTAATAGACTTGGCATTGTCCAAGTGTGCAGCAGAAATACAGAATCTAAAAAGATGGCTCCTTTTACCAGCAGGTGGACTAAAAAAATCAGAGAGCACCCAAACTACTGACTTCTCCACTAAGATCAGAAACAAACGCTGTTCGATTGCACCCTGAAACCATTTGCTTCTCAGCCTTCAGAGACCCAAACCAGCAAAGACACCAGCACACCAGCACAGCAGCCAGTAAGTCCAGCCCCTGCTAGACATACATAAGACACATGATCTAGCACAGATTAGCTGTCCCGGGTATGTGGGGAGCTCTTGCCAACCCTCCCAAGGGGCTCCCGCCTGCCACCTGTCCCTGGCTGCCCCACACTGTTCTAGTGGATTTTTCTCCGTGAGTCTGAATTTGTTTCCTGAAATTCCTTAATATTCATTCTCTCTCACATTCATTTTCAGTGGAGATTATCTTTTTCATCTACTCAATATTTACACAGGACCTACTTCCAAAAGGATTTTAGATGGCTTAAAAAGATAAGCACATTGGAAAGAGGACACACAAATGTAAAGCAAAATTTTAAAACTACTCAAAAGTCTTCAGGCAAAATACATCCCTACTCTGACACTTTCCTTCTTGCCTCTCCCACCCCCGATTCTCCTGCTTCTCTTCCAGACAGACAGGGGCATTAATGTGCCTCCTCTTGCTTCTTGGGAATGAGGACACACCCAGGAAGTAAACTCCCAGCCTGGCTCCTTCCTGGTTCCCAGGTTCCTGCAAGCTGCCTGATGTTAGAGGGGTAAGTCTGCTGAATTCTGTCACTAATAGAATGTCCATTTGCTCAAAGTGTAATCCATATGAACAAAAGATGCTTAGTGGTGAGACTGGGCCACCACACACCCCTCACACATAAAAAAAAAGCCTTTGTTGTGTTACACAAGCCATGAATGCACTTAATGATGTACACTTAAAAAAGATAGTCACCCAAGGTTGACAGGCAGAATCATCTGATGGCATAAAATGCCTCATTAAATGTAATTAGGAAATAGCATTACTGAAATGCTGATCAAGACTTTCCTGTGTCCTGTTTGGAGGGAGTCATTTCCTGCACAATCCTTTGACTTCTTGAACGATAGTTTTTTCCTTTTTTTGATTATGAAAGAAGATACAATAGCAAACCATCATTGGACACCCCCCCACCATGGTCTAGGATGAACTTGAATTCTGATTTGACAACGAAGTGCCACCCATACAGTGTACAGAATACTTCTACACACGCAATCCCACTTACTCTGCAAATATTATAGAAGGAAACTGTCATAGTCCCCATGGAAAAGAGGAGCTAGGAGAAGTGAAAGGCTTTGTGAAAACGTCCCAGAGCAGTGATCAGAAGACAATGTGGGCCATTGCCTCCTACGCTGTCTATAGCTTGGACCAACCGCGTTGCTTCCTGAGGTGTGAGTCAGGGCTGATGATTAAATGGCAGCTCCAGGGATGCAGCAAGGCTGGTGCCTGCACTGCTTGACACCCGGCCAGCCCATCCCAACCACCATTTATCACGAGTGCCGTCCAAGTGGACCAGCAGCTCTTAAAAGGATTTTATTGTACTACATATATTTTCTGAGGGGAGGAAGCACGTGACACAATGTGTATGTGGAAGTCAGATGAGAATGTTCAGGAGTATCTTTTCTCCATCCACAATATGAGTACCAGGGATCAAACCCAGGTTATCGAAGTTGGCAGCAAGTGCCGTTAACCACTTACCCATCTTGCCAGCCCCACCAGTGACTCTTTGTTCTAGAAATGTATTCTTTCTTTCTTTTATCCATTGGTTGTCCGCTTTTCCTTCCTTCCATGTGGTTCATACTTTTCTTCTAACAAAGGGTCACACACATCACCCATCTCTGAGATATACTTACAAATCATGCTCTAATTGTCCACTTAACTTATTACCAACACTGACAAAGCTTTCTCTATACTCAAAGTCAACACTAAGGCTCTATCTTCGGAGCAAATTCAAGGAGGTTAACAGGTAGAAGCCCCCTTATCAAAGCTATGTCCTCATTTCTTCTGCACTAAAAACTACCAAAATGCTAACACAGAGCCTTTCCAGAATGAAGATATGCAATGACATCCCTTTGATGGTTTTAATGTTACTTCAGATACTTTTTTCAACCCACAACTTCTAATGGGCTACCTGGTGTTAGGCTCACTGTTGCTGTCTTGTGGAAAGACTAAGAAGGTCAGAAAGGAGGAGAGGGAGATGGGTAAAACAGAAGAGCAGTTCTGTGAAGAAATGACGTGGGGTGTTCTTCCACTGTTACTTGCTAGAGAAGAAACCCCACATTCTGACTAGTTACCATTGCCTATATTCTGGGAAAGCAGAAGTATTCCGATCTTAATTTTTACAGAAGGACCCCATAAAACCTATTTCTAAAGGCTTGAACCAGGTGTGCTGCATGTGCCTGTATTCCTTGCATCCAAGGAGCTGAGGCAGAGGGTCTGCAATCCTGGACTACATAATGAATCCTGGCCAGCCTGGACTGCACTGTGAGCCTCTATTGTTCCTCCCGCCCCTGTATTGCCCCTCCCCAAAAATCGTGTTTTGATTACTAATGTAATCAAATGTAAGGCAGAATTATCATGGGTTTCCTTAAGGTAGTCATCGATTTACAACTACTTTAAAAAGTAGAACAAACGAAAAAATGACAAACAAAACCAATTCTGTCTGTACATTTTTTGAAAAGGAAGAAAAAGGCTCTAGTTCACTTCACACCTGTCCCAAAAACTCCTCAAATGTTGACATTCCTGACATTTTGGTCTCATCCCAGCGCAGAGCTGGGGATGGGGCTCAGTGGTCAGGCACTGGTGGATGGAGTCAGAGGTCAGGCACTCATGGATGGAGATCAGTAGTCAGGCACTTATGGATGGGGCTCAGGGGTCAGGCACTCATGGATGGAGATCAGTAGTCAGGCACTCATGGATGGAGCTCAGGAGTCAGGCACTTGTGGATGGGGCTCAGGGATCTGGCACTCATGGATGGAGCTCAGGGGTCAGGCACTCATGGATGAAATATGCACAAAGCTCTAGGCCCAATCCCCAGCACAGTGACTACTTAGCCCAGGCTATGTATGGATAGTATTTAATGTGCAAATGCTGTTTTCCTCAGAAAAATCCAGTCTTAGCGTTCTTACTCTAGACATTTTCCCTATACATAAGGCCTGTAATTTTGATGAAGAAAATCTGTGTTCACTGCAGTTGTGAACCTATAGCAGGCTAGAAGGGATACGAATTTGCCATGTCAATAGAAGTAAAGGCCAGCAGAAATATGGAAACACACTGGGATAATTGCACGGATGCAAGACAAAGCTCTGAAAATTACATATTGTTTTCAAAGGAAAAAACAATCTCTCCTGTAACATTTGATAATCATCCATCCACTCAATCAAGTGATTAGACTTAACATCACCAGTGAACATACAGATGTGTGCAATACAAAACACACAGCATTGTCTATAAAGTACTCCAACTCAAGTGGTCTGTCTGAGTTTATAGTCACCCCAAGGAAACGGTGAGACAAGACTAGAATGTGAGCAGGTCAACTATCCTTGTATCCCAAAAAAGGTTTAACACACACACACACACACACACACACACAAAGGTTAGGATGCTGTTCTACATTGTGAAAGCTACAATGGCAAATAGCCAAATGTAATTATATTAATAAGTGGCTTTGGGGGAAATCCTGGCTTTAACATTAGTAATGACAAAGGAATTCGGGTAGCAATTGAAATTTGAATCTGGAAAGATGTTTGGTAACAGTTCTTGGCTTTTTTTCTTAGCTTAAGCATACATCTGCCAGTATGGAAAATAATGTGGTTTTGTTGTTGTTGTTGTTGTTTGTTCCTCTGTTTGTTGATAGTGCTGAAGAGCAAATCCAGGACTCTTCCATGAGACAAGTTCTCTACAGCTGAGCTACACTCCAATTCCAGAATACTCTTTTTCTAGAAGAGGCATGCTGAGGCATAGTGGTGCCTACAGGTCTACAGTGACTTCCAAAGAGCTCAACTTCCCACATCAAAATATACACACATATGGGGGGCAGGAGGTGCTGATAAATATGGCAAAACGAACTTTTTGTTATTGTGTGAGACAGTATCTCACTGTGTAGCCCTGGTTGGCCTAGTACTCAAGATACAGCCCAGAGTGACCTTAAACTCACAATCATCTCACCGCAGCCTCCCAAGTGCGGGAATTACAGGTGCGAGACACCATACACAGCTGATAAAATGAGCAATTACTAAGTCTGGTGAGTGGGTATATTGATATTTATTATACAGTTGATTAAATTTTCCATGTTCCACGTTAGAAGGCATGCTAGCATGATAACTAGTCTCTATACACAGAACAAACCTGTGCTTACATTTAATGACAAAATTAAGTTCTAAATGCTGCATTTGGCCAATTACTGGAGACAACCTAAGGACAGTGGGTGGATTGAGGACAAAGTATAGCCCTCCTGCATTAGCTGTCTTCTCCACGCTCTTTGAAAACTTCATTCACACACCAAAGATTATCAACTAATAAGTTACTAAATATGTCTAGAGTTTGATAATTTACTGTTGAAGATTCTTATAAAATAAGAACTTTTCTGCTGGCCAAGTAGCCTAGCCACTTGGTGAGTTCTAGACCAGTGAACCTGGTCTCAGCAAAAAACAAAACAAAAAACAAAACAAAACATGAAACAACATGTAAGGTTGTCCTGTGGCCTACATAGGTACACACACACACACACACACACACACACACACACACACACAAGCACGCACGCATGCACGCACACATGCATGCATGCACACACAGCCTTAGGTGATTTAGGTAGAGTCTAGTAGAGAAACGGGAAAAGGGAGCACTGGGCTAGTTTGACATTGACCTTTTCCAGGGTTCAAGTTCTCCTTTCAGTGTACTTTTAAAGGAGCAGTTACTACAGGGAGTTCCTGACAACCATCAAACTTGCTTCTAGGATGTCAATTAGCCAAGTCCCTACCTGTCTGGCCTCCCATGGGCACTCTGAACTTAGCCCAAACACTTCTGTCCACCCATGCTCTTAGACGCAAGTCAAGGAACCAAACCACAAAGCCTGTATTCTTCAGGAGACAGTAACAAATTCACAAATTCCAGTCACTCAGGCCTTTAAAGAACAATGAAAGCAGCTTTGGATAAACCTGCTAGCCTGGGGTACTGCCCCCCAGACAGACATAACTTACTCATCTACTGTTTTTCAGGCCTTGCTGGTATTTGGGTGAGATGCAGGAAGGGGGCAGACAGCACATGGGGTCTGGCTACCCTGCTATCTGCTGTTGGAGATGAGAACAAGGTGGCAGGAACTCACAACTGCTGCTGAGCTCTCTTCCTTTCTGGTCTCTTCTGGGAAGGACAGCACTTAGAAGATAAACTTGTTGAATTAGAGACTTCCCAAAGGTGGGCAGCAAAGAAAAAGGCTCTATCCTATCCTGTTCTTGAGAGTTTGTATTGGGTAGGAAAACACAAGCGTGTCTGAACACTAGTTCAAAGAACTCTCTACCCCAACCTGAAAACATATCACACAAAAAAATAGAACTTGAAAGGAGTGAGCCATAATGCTTAAGATACCTGAAAACACAAAAGACCATGTTCCTTTTTATTTGGGGGAAGAAAAGGAATGTCTCTGTGAGCCAACTATCCCCAGAGAATATCAAGTCTTACCTAGGTACAAGGATGCGTTGTCTTTCTTGACGTTGTCATCTAAATATGTTGGTCCCAGGGTGTAAATCGGTGTGGAGCCCATTCCAATGAGAACCTGTGCACAAACGAATAAAGCCACATAGACCCAGTGATTATTTCCTCCTGAGTCCTTGGGACAGGGAGGAGGCTCCAAAGTGACCGTGGAGTTGCCATTCTGACAAAGGCCGTCGTTGGAGGTCGACGCGTTCAACTCTTGGATTTGGTAGGGAGGCGAGATGAAGTGAGGTAAGGTGAAGAGCGCAGCCCCGACAGCTATAAGAAGTCCACCCACGGCCAGCCACAGAGGCCTTCGCCCACGGCCACCAAAGTAGCTGACGAACACCACCACCACCAGGTTCCCTATGTCAAAGCAGCTGACCAGCAGCCCAGACTCGGAACTCTTCAGGCTATAGCGTCTTTCAATGGTTGTGATGACACTGCTCAGGTACCCAGAGACCATTAACGCCTGGATGAAGGTCAGAAAACACATGCATACTAGGAAGCAGCGAGAATCGGTAAGGACCACGTAGAGACACCTTCTCTCCTGGAGTGTGGCCAGAGTAGAAGACACTGACAACGTTTTGCTGGGGTCCATCCTATGGTTACAGTCCATGACTTCCGCTGTAGCCCTTGCCGAAGTGGATGGGGCAGAAGGGCTAGGGACTATCAAGTTCTGCCCTCCATACATCTCCAGGTGACCCAAAGCTTCAGGGCAGCCCCAGGCCAGTTCGCCATCTGCATTCCCAGCACTGAGATTCCGCCGGCAGGAGGCGCTGTGCAGGACCGGTAAACTCTTAGACCTGATGGTCTCTGACTCACACTTCTCCTGGACAGCTCCTACCGCCTCAGGTGCCTCCAGCTGCTCTTGGCCCCCGGACTGCACTGCCCCTTCGTCCATGGCTCTTAAAATTTGATCGCTGATCCCATACAAGGCCTCCGGCACTTTTCATCCACCTGCACGAGGAACCGAAGCCGGGCCCACTCAGTTGTGCCCACCTGAGACCCGGACTGCGTGTGACACAGCCGCTTAAGGGAACATCTCATCAGCAGGGGGGCGCCCTGAGCATCCTGACCGGGGGCGCAGCGGGAAGGTTTCGCCACCTCGTGCCGGGGGAGGTAAAGATCCGCACAGTCCTGCGAGGAGCCCTGCTCGGCGTCCACCTCCCGGGGATAGCTCGCTGCAGGCGCTTTGCGCGTCCGGTGCTCATCCCCTCCGCCACCGCCTCTCAGACGGTGGCCCGGGAGCTAGAGTGCTCTGTGCCCGGTGTGGGGTCACTTAGCGCGACTGTCCGAACGACATCCCGCTTGGTACACACAGGGGTGTTCGGTGCCCACCTCAGGGCTTGTGACACACTCGGCGATGAAGCTCCCAACCTGCAAAGCAGAGAGCGGATGGTCAGGGAAGGATGGCTGCAGTTGGGGCTGGCGTCCCAGCGCCCGGCGGCTAGCTCTAGGTAACCCGGTGGTCCCCAGAGGGACCGAGTTGAACCCGGCAGGAAGAGCCCGCAGAGGCTGAACCTCAAATCCCGGAACAATGAGCAGCAGGCGGTCCGCCGAGACTCTCCCTCATTGTCTGCGGCGGGCCTGCCCCCGCCCCGCCCCTTTTGCCTTAAACAGTGCGTTTGCTTTTATATGTTAATAATTATCAACCTGGCAGCTCTGACTCAGAGGCAGTGTCTTTTATTCGAGTGAACTAATTACAACCTTTTGATACTCCTACTCCGTGACTCAAAATAGAAGATTCCCAAAAGAACAAAGGAAAGTTTTTTTTTTCTTTTACAAACACACAATGCATTCCCGGTCTCAATTTTTTAAATGCGTTTTTTTAAGCGATAGAAAGAAAACTACGTGTAGAAATGGGTTTGCACACTTCTACGCTGGCACGTGTGCGCAACGAGATGTGAATTAGCCTGTTCCATCATTAGACACCTACTTATTCAAAGCCAAAGGCAGCCGGGGGGAAAGGGAATAAAAAAGGTCAACATGCTTGCCTGGTTATTCTTTACACTAAAAATAGCCCCTTGCCGGAAAGAACTATTCAATTACAAGTAACGAGGGCATTCAAGGCTGTGGCCCATGTTAAGTCCCAGAGCGCACCGTTGAGCGAAACCGAAAATCAATTTGCTTTGCAGATGGCTGGTCGAAGTCACAACCAAACAAAGAGGAACCCACCGAAGCGACTCAGCACAGGCGGGCTGGCGGGGAGGTGCGCAATTAACCGAGCGCACCCCGAGAACGTGGGCCCTGGGTTGTCTGCGCGCCTGCGCGAGCACATGCACACGCGCGCGCACGCACTCACACTCATACACACACACCAGAGAGTACATGTTGAAACTGTTCGATCCAGCACTCGGCTTAACTTCAGCAAGCGCCAACACAGGTGTGGCCGCGGTGTAAGCCCCATCACTAATCTTGGAAAACCCTACACCCCTCCCGCCCCGCCGCGAGGTGCACCAGGTGGAAGGGGTTGGGGCTCCGCTGCATTGAGTTTCGTTCTGAGCCTTTGTGGCTCTGCTGCGGAAAGAAAACGGGTAGGAGAGAAAGACGGAGAAGCTGACCGAGGGGTGGCAGTCACATCTCTCTGGACTGTTCCGGACCGGACTCGCTCGCAGATGCCCGGCCTGCCAGTGGCTCTCAAGCCCGGTGTTGGGCTCAGCTCGCTCAACCCTGCGCCTTCCCGGGGAACTCCACCCGTAGCTGCGCGCCGAGCTGGGGAATCCCTGCGTCGGAGCCCCTGCCTGGGGGAGCAGCCGCATCGCGGCGCAGACTCGGATGTGGTGGACACGCGGATCCCCGCCCGGAGCTCTCGGAACAGATGCAGAATCCCAGGGACACCCCCTGCGCGCACACGCACTCACACACACGCAGCCCGTGGGAGGACAGAAGCGCCGGGGACAGTTCGCCTCTCTACGGGGCTCACAAGCCTCCACAACTCACTAGCGGGGGTGACGAGCAGTCTGCCGGGCTCGGAGAGGAGCGGCCGCAGTAGGACTCCGGTGGTGCGGGCAGATGGGCCAGCCTCCTGCTGCCGAGAAATCAGAGAGTGAGACTGCCACTCCGGGCTGCCTAACTCTTCCCCCCCCCAACCCCTGGCCTGTCACCCAAGCCTCTCCTCTCCAGACACACGCGCACAGAGATGCGCCGGGACTGGAGCGGCAGAGGGCGCAGGCGCGCGGGCAGCCACCCAGCCCAGCCCGCCGGCAGCCAGCCACCCAGCTGCCCTTCACCTGCACAGAGGGAAGACGACCCGCACCGAAGCCCCAAGGAAGAGCCTGTCTTAAAAAGTCACCGACTGGGGCAGGGAGCCATTTTATGTAAAGTATTTCGGTTCCTTTCTACCAAGTTCACCACTCACCATGTCTTTTCTACTATAGCAGAATCTGGGGACCAAGCGGAACAAGATCGCTGGTATAGGGAAACTTGTCTTACAAAGAAAATTATCTAGGCTAAGGACTTGAACCCATGCAGTACATTCTATATAGCTTGCTGCTGCAGAACCAGGCACCCATTAACCTATCTTTCCAGACCAGGAAGGGCGCTTGCTAAGGCACAGGGGCACGTGTTAAGTAACCAGTGGACTCGTTGCTGGGAGATTGGAGAGATGGAGCAGAGGACCGCACTGCAAGGGTGGCAGAGAACAGGACAAGGGATTTTATGGCGTATGTGTTGTCAGTCCTGAGATGCCATGACTTTCTGCCTTTCTCACCAGAAAAAGCTTGGTCCGTGGGTTGAGATAGCTAGACTGTCAAGAGTTTGTAGTCACATTAGACTCTTACACCTGGAGAGCATGCTGCATGACCTGACGCTTCTCCACGTTCTATGCCAGACACCATCTCATCTCTGCTCAAATGAGGCATGGACTTTGCCCTCCCAACATTTCCAAAAGTGTGGTCTCAACATGCACAAGCCATCAGAGGCTCAGCTTTGAACCCCGCGTGTATTATCAAATAACCAAAAGCTTTTGCCTATCCCCAGTCAAACCATTCCCAAATTCACAAAATTGGGATGGTTTGCTAGATAGCTCCTTCAGGCAAAACTGTTGAGCACTTGTATTTCTAACCACTCTACATGAGGATGGATGGTGGGTACTACATTATTTCAGTGGGGTGTCAATATTAGCCACTTACTTGCTCACATGAACCTCTCCTAAGCTGTGTTCTTCAAAGGGATGCATCAGAAATAAAGAAATATAAATTAAAAAAAAGCTTGGTCCGTGATGGGTAGACTATTGTGAGTGCAGAGACAAGTAATGTGGAAATACCAATATCAATATGCGATGAGGCAGGGACCAGGGAGACAGAGAGCTGGTTGACAAGGTAGATGTGACTAACCTAGCTAGGCCAATGTGGGGGGCGACTCCTGATTTAACACTTGAGTAACTGATGAATAAAGTCCAATTAAAACATGAGGAACCTACTGGTTGTTCTCATTTTATGAGGGCTGAGTTTGAAATGCCATTAGAATATTCAGGTGTACATACTCCATAATATGCTCAGGAGGTTTGGACTAAGCGTGTGGATTCATAGTAATTAGCCACAAAGATGGCGTGAGAAAGGGTAAGTGGATAGGACCGATTCCAAATTGAGAAGAGATGCAGGCTAACAATGGGGCTTTGAGATCATTAAGATCTGAGAGAAAGAAAGTTTAAAAACAAAAACAAAAAAACTAGAAGCAGGAACCAGGGAAATACAGAAAGGTAGAAAATAATGGGTGTCACCGAGGCCAAAGAAACGGGCAGATTAAAGAGGGCAGCAGACTGAGGAGACCCCGCTTGCTCACAATACTTACACCCTGCTGGTTACGGTGCCTGGCAGGACCCACCTGATGACCTCTGGTGGCCCTACCCAAAGGTCCATGTCCTCAGCCAGGCATGGTGCACATGTCTGTATTCCAAACGGTTGGAGGGCTGAGACGGGGTTACACAGCAAGACTCTGTCTCTAGAACTGAAATCTCAAGGCTAGCTTGGGGGTTACACAGCAAGACTCTGTCTCTAGAACTGAAATCTCAAGGCTAGCTTGGGGGTTACACAGCAAGACTCTGTCTCTAGAAATAGAAAAGAAAAAGAACAAAAGATCTGGAGACTGGAGCAGTGGCTCACTCCAGAGGACCTAGGTTTGACTCCCAAAACCCATATGGTGGGTTTCAATCATCTGTGACTCTAGTCCCGGAGAACCTGGCACCATCCCTAGCCTCCCTGGGCACTGCATGCACACGGTGCTCATACATACATGCATACATGCATACATACATACATACATATAAAAATGAATTATTTCTTTGAAGCAACCTATTTCTTGTGGCCCTTACTTTCCACTCCCTTGCCTCTTGCTGAGTGGTATGTTGACTTACAGCTCTCGGGGATCCCACTTCAGACAACTGGAGTGTCTACAGATGACCTTTGAAGAACAGATTATCTAAGACCAGTAGACACTAAGAGTCCATGTGTGTCTGCAGCCACACAGAGACAGCACTGCGGCAGCAGTTAAGGAACTGACCATTACTTCCTCCTTCTCTGTCCCTGTCCACTCAAGTCTGTGGTCATTTGTCCCCAACAGATAATAATATCCTAAGTTCCTCCCTTATTAGACTGTAGCTCCCCCCCCCACCGCTGATCACATAAAATACATGGTGCTTCCTGTACCTAACTATTTTTCAGAGCTTACTCTGGCCCCAAACAGAAGTGATCTACATTGTCTCATCTCCCTCTAAGCACTTTGCTCCAGCCTCTCACTTCATATGTGTTTCCAGACAACAGCTGTCTGCAGCAAATTTGATCTCTTGCATCAGGTTCCAGGGCTTGCCTACTGAAAGCTAAACAGCCATGTTCCTGGAACCCATCATTCAGTCATGCTCCATTACCATACTCAAACTAGGAAGGCCTTTAAGAGCTCACAGGATTGTGTTATTGTTTTCCCATGAATACAAAGGTTATAATTTAGCTGGGCGTTGGTGGTGCATGCCTTTAATCCCAGCACTCGGGAGGCAGAGGCAGGCGGATCTCTGGGAGTTCAAGCCTGGTCTACAGAGTGAATCCCAGGACAGCCTCCAAAACAATACAGAGAAACCCTGTCTTGAAAAACCAAAAAATAAAATAAATAAATAAAAATAAAGGTCGTAATTTGTAAACAGGATTTAAATGATTCCATTAGCTGAAATGCTTGGTTTCCTTCCTGTTTCTCTTAGTCCATAGGTGATAGACATTATGGTGGGAGAAGTATAGTTCACCTCATGGGGAACAGGAGAGAGCAGAGAGAAAGATGGAAGACAGGAGGAGAAAGGGAGACGGAGAAGAGCCTTGAGACAAGAAGCATCTTTCTGTAGCACAAACCGCAATGCTACATAGCTCCTAAAACTTTTAGCACCGGTACATACTGCCATCAAGTAAGAATTGCTTAAGTCAGAGTTGTCACGATTCAACCACCTCACAAGGACTGCACCTCAAGCTGGGAACCAGTCCTTCAATACATGAGCTTTTTGTATTCAACCACCTCACAAGGACTGCACCTCAAGCTGGGAACCAGTCCTTCAATACATGAGCTTTTTGTATTCAACCACCTCACAAGGACTGCACCTCAAGCTGGGAACCAGTCCTTCAATACATGAGCTTTTTATGAGAACACTTCATATCTGAACCATGACATGAAGTCTGTCTTTATTGACCTCAGTCTTCAGCTTAACAGGAAAAAAAAAATGGAGTGAGGTTATAGAGTTCTGCTGCCCTACGGTTTCTTTCATTCTGCATGTGGTTGTCTTGTTTGACACATTGGAAGAGGAAACCTGTGACCACAAACTGTTTTCAAAATTTCAGGTTTACTTAGTTTCTTCTAAGTCACTTGAGGGCCACCAAGACGGTAATAATCCCTACATTCAACAGAGGAGGATGAGGAAGGCAGAGGAGGCCTCCCATCACATGTCTCCCTTTCCTTCTTGCCACTCAGGGCTGCTTTCAGGAGACTTCCCAGACACAAGAGCTGGGTTTTACTCAAGAATAGTTTCTGGGCTTAAAATAGAACTTGAATGTAATGGTTAATCTTCATAGTTAACTTGATGAAATCCAGACACACCCAAGAACATGTGTCTGAGTATTGGGGTGGGAGGCGTGGTCATTTCCAGAGACACTTAACTTGAAGAGGGAAGACTTGCCATGTACACAGACTGCACTGCCCCATGGGCTGGAATCGTAGACTGGAAAACAAGGATGAAGATGGAACACCAGCCTTCGTCTCTCTGCTTCCTGATGTGTGACCAGCTGCCTCACACTTCCATCGCCATGACTTTCACCGTGACTTCCCCGCCATGAGGGACTGTACCCCCTCAAACAGTGAGCCAAAATAAGCCCTTAAGTCACTTCTCATCACATTTGATCACAAGACAAAAGCAGCTAATACACTGGATATTTTCATTGAACTGAGGACTAATTGCTTATGGCAGGGAAAGTCTGTCTTTCAGGAAGGCACTTAGCTAAATTTGGCATTTATGCTCACACTTAGAAATGAAACTCAAGCTGGATAAATCAGAAGAGGGCTAGAGCTGAGCCTGTGCTCCCACAGGAAATGGCTGGAGGATCCTACAAGGGTTAACGTAGAAGAAAGTCACTGCAGCCACAGTCATAGAAAGGAAGATTGCAGATGGCCAGCCTGAAGAACGCAAGACCTCTTCAGTCGGGACCTTAAAGAAGCTACTTAACTTCCCTAAATAAAACTATCCCCAAGGCTCCAAGATTTGGTGTGAGGATGACTTGCCCATGAAGAGATACTGGTCCCAAAAGGTTCATGTTCCCTTGAGAAGTGTTACATATGCTGGGTTGTATGGTTGGACACCTGAAATCCTTGCATTGGAAAGCACAAGCAGGAGGATGAGTTGTTCACACTCATGCTCAGGTACACAGGAAGTTAGAAGCCAGTCTTGGCTTTAAATGAGAAATAAAGTGTTTTACGGTTGCCACCATTCCCCCCTCTGCCTGTGAAGGATAGAGGCAGAACAGAAGGGGCTAGGAAAGAGGTTGGAAGACAGAATTACCCATGGGCCCTAAGGGTCTTTGCACAATTGTTTTGGTATATGCAACTAGTAT